ACACACACACACACACACACACACACACACACACACACACACATATATATATATATATATATATACAATCAAGGAGTTGTGCGATCAACAAGGTACATTAAATAACTCTATCATACCGATCCATTCAATATTTCTCATGTTTTTTTTTAAAAAAAGAAGAGAACAAAAATATACACGGTAGCCAATAAATACGTACTCTCTTCATAGTAAGAAGTATAGTACACAAAAAGAGATATATTTAGAAGCAACGATAGTGAAAGATGGTTTCTACAAAGAAAAAGAGAAACGAGCTATTATAAAACTCGGTATATTATCATAAATTATCATACATTATCTTATAAAAAGACAGAGGGATGAGGGGGGGGGGGAGACTAGGTTGATCCTATTAAATTCGGTATGGTTCGCGTAATAAATAAAAAAAAATAGAAAATAGTACAAAAATTCTAGGAATTTGAAGCAGAAATGAAAAAAAAATGAAGAAGTTGAAGTTGAAGTAAAATAAGAAGATGAAGATGAGGAAGAAGAAGAAGGAAAGAAAGACCCGCCCCAATCTGACGCGTTCGCGTTTTTAAACGGGTAACTTGGGATGGGAATGGTGGGGGTTGTTGAAGTGGGGTGGTTGTAGGGTGGGGATAGAGGGGGATAAGAGGAGAAGCGTGAAAGGAGAGGAGGAGGGAGAAGCGTGACTCGTGCGTAACACGCCACTCGGATTAGGCCCCCACTTTTGAGCCTTTAGCATCGCTAACCAAGTGGGCTACGCCCAGCCACGCTTATTACTCATTCGGACACGCCACTTTATTCGAGCGTGCGTCGTGTTTCGTTCAGGATACCTTACGGTAGCACCTTCGCTGCTTTTAGCTTCTGTAATATGTATACACCTATATATATATATGTATGTATTTATCGTACGTATTTATATATCAATGTGCGTGCGTGTATAAGCGCGTGCGAGTATGAGGAATATATATGGGGAATATAGGGAGTGGGGTGGGGGGATTTTAAACCACAATGGGATTTTAGACCCCCGAGGGATCTATTATACTCAACTTCCATTCTCTTGTTTTTTTTTTTTAATCCTTATTACTTACTTAACAGGTCTTTCGAGATCTTTATTATTATTATCAGAGAAAAAAGTGAAATGGAAAATAAAATGAAATAAAATATGATAGAAGGATAGGAAAGGAAAGGAAAGGAAAGGAAAGGAAAGGAAGAAGAAGAAGAAGAAGAAGAAGAAGAAGAAGAAGAAGAAGACTCGTTAATCGCGATGATGGAGTCATCCTACGCGAGATGAGTTTTCTAATAATAGAGAAGATCACCGCGTTGGATGATGATAATTTATGTCCACTCCATTTGTATATGTACTCATAAGAAAGAAAGAGAAAGAGAAAGAGAAAGAGAAAGAGAAAGAGAAAGAGAAAGAGAAAGAGAAAGAGAAAGAGAGAGAGAGAGAGAGAGAGAGAGAGAGTGAGTGAGCTTTCTTTTTTTTTCTTCTCATAGTTTCTTCTTCTTCTTCGGAATCGATCTTGAAGCGCAAAACAGAATACTTAACGGCCGACATTATTGCGAAGACTTTAAGGTTGCTTACTTCCCTCCGACATATCCCGACTCGTAATTCATGCTTGCTCATAATTCTTCTTTACTTCACGCAATAAGAACAAGGATTCGTTACAACGCGCGACCGACTATAAAATGATCGGCACATGGTTGGTTGGTTGGTTGGTTAGTTGGTTGCTTGGTTGGTTGATCTCTCTCTCTCTCTTTCTCTCTTTTTCTTTTTGAAATGAGGATTCTAAGCGTTAGTGCAAAAGTTATTATATTTTATCTAAATCTTCTTACGAGACGAGACGACGAGTGTTAAGTCTAGTTGAGGTTACTTAGTTGTCTAGCTTTTACATAATACACTTGCGTAAGAAGATAGACGAGGGGGGAAATAGATGGATAGATAGAAACGCATAATCGATGATTTTAAATAATACAATGGTGAGATAATAATAAATCACGACAATCGATTGTGTATTATAACGAAAAAAAAGAAGTAAAAAATAGAAAAAAAAGAATTGTTTCTCGTAATGTTACGAAAGAAACATTTAAACGATATAATTATATTTTAATTTGAATATTCAATTATTATATTTTATTATTATAGTCAGACGAATCTGCCATCATTACAATTTCGATTAGAATCGTCAACACATTTTTGTTTTATTAATTAAAAGTAATTCGAATTCGAGTATTTTTCGAAATTGTTCAAATTATAAATTTATTTATATTAAAAAACCACGCCGTGTGTGTTCCTTTATTGATTAGCATAATTTTACGAGCAAATACTTACATGGATAATTTGCATACATCATGCGAGTGGGAACACGTTACCGGAACGAGTTATTTTACCGATCGTGTTCGAATTTCGTAAATTCGATTGATTCCAAAACCTTTCCTTCTTGTTTCTTTCAAGAAAAAAAGAAAGAGAGAGAGAGAGAGAGAGAGAGAGAGAATGATCTTGGAAAAAATTAAAAATAAAAAAAAAGGGGGATAAAAAAGAATAAAAGATAAAAAAGACAGAAAGTTGAGGGCGGGTTATCTCGAGTCACGTTATCTTCTCGGGCCAATAAAGTACCTCGTATAACGTCGTCCAACGCAGTCTCGCAACCTTCGACATGGGTGGTAACGATCGAGAAGACAGGGTGGAGGAGGAGGAGGAGGAGGTGGACGACGACGACGACGACGATGAGGTGGAGGATAGAAGGAGAAGGAGAATACGAAAAATTCATTGGCGTAAAATCATCGAACGTGATTTTTGTTTTTTTGGCTTGCAGGTAGTAGCATAGAGCTTGTTCACCGAAGAGACAACGAAGAAGAAGAAGAAGAAGAGGACGAGGAAGAGGAAGAGGAGGACGAGGACGACAACGACGACGAGGACAACAACGACGACGAGGACGAGGACAACGAATCGTTCGGGTCCGGGTATAAGCAGTGATCTCACTCGTAGTAATCGCACGCAGCCGGTCTCGAGAGGCTGCCTAGCTGTGCGGGAGGCACAAAAGAGAGAAAGAGAGATCTTGCAGGACTTGTAGAAGGAGAGAGAGAGAGAGAGAGAAAGAGAAAGAAAGAGAAAGAAAAGGAAGGAAGGTATACGTCGTCGTCGTCTGTTGTGGAGTAGTGGTGGAAGGACTCTTGAGGCGTTAGTCAGAGAGCGTGAGGAGGGAAAAGGAGACAGTGGGAGAGATCTTGGTTCGAGAGGGAGAGAGAAAAAGAGAGAGAGAGAGTGAGCAAGCGAACGAAGGAACAAACGAACGAACGAACGAACGAACGAGAGAACGGGTAAGCAAGTGAGAGAGAGAGAGAGAGAGAGAGAGAGAGAGAAAGAGTTAGCGAGGGAACTTGAACGAGAAGGAGAAAGAGAGGGTCGAGACCAAGAGAAGGAGCGGTGGGAATTTATAAGGATGTTCGCGATAATGCCGATGGAGACAGAGGGGCACGGCAGGGAGTTCGGCCGGCGGCAGAAGATGCGCGCCAAGTGCACCGTAGAGTTCGTCTGCAAGTACTGCCAGCGGCGCTTCACCAAACCTTACAATCTAATGATTCACGAGCGTAGTCACAAGGACGATGTGACCTTCACCTGCGAGGTCTGCGGAAAGTCCTTCAAGCGGCAGGATAATCTCAAGCAGCACAGGTATCATCAATCTCATTTTTAATATCATCTTTACTTACTTTGATTTTCTATCCCTCATCTTATTTGGGGGACACACTTTCTTTCTATATCTATCTAGCTATCTCTCTCTCTCTCTCTCTTATTTTTTTTTAAAACTATCTTTTTGTTTTTTATTTTTTGGGTTTGCTGTGAAAAAAAATTAAGTTCTATATCGATTCTATTATGTCTCTTTGACTTTATTTCTTTCTTTCTTTCTATCTTTCGTTTCTTTCTCTTCGTTTTATGTTCTCACAGTGAAAAAGAAAAAATTGTGTTAAATCTTGAAAGTGGTTTTCTCTATTTTCTTCTCTTTATATTCTTCTTTAACTTCTTCATATTTCTTCTATCTTATTGATTTGTTGAAATTGTGCCAAATGGGTTTAACGTGTAACACAGTGTGCAATCAATTTAATTGAATTGTGCGTGAAATCAGTTCATTGTTCGAAGTTCAAAGTTTTCGATTTCCATCGACGGGTAACCACAAGTTCAATATTTCGTTTCATTTCGTCAATCTAGCCGTCGGATTTTTAGCATTGGATTTTACGGGAAATCTTCTTCTTCTTCTACTTCTTTCCGTCGGTCTTACGAAAGAAGAAGAAAAGAAAGTTTTATTCAATAATGTGAATTTTCGATCTAAATTAAACAAGTGAATTTGATTAAACTTTTTTTTTAGTGTTCATTTTAAGTGTTTTGAAAAAAAAATTTTAATTCATCAAAAGTTTATGATCAAAATGAGATTTGAATACAAAATTTGGTTTAAATGGAAAAAAATCAATCGTAGAAAAATTATCCGTCGGTTCGGGGTGTGTGCAATCGAACGATTTTAGTGAACTTTTCATTTAAAAGAATAAAATAAAATAAGAAAATATTTATGGAACGTCTTGGTAAGAATTTGGACGGATCTGAGGGGAGTCGGTAAAAATTCATTGGAAGTCAATCGCGTGAAACAAACAATGGTAAGAAGTAGAAGAAGAAGAAGAAGAAGAAGAAGAAGAAGAAGAAGAAGAAGGAGAATCTTAAAAGACAAACGTTACGAGCGAGTGAGAAGGAGATCGCTACCGAGATGACCTTTTCACACCATTGGCCTTGCAATGTTACACCGTGTCACCTTCACCCATCTCTCTCTCTCTCTTTCTTTCTTATAGATCGAGGTAAAGGTGCGAATAAGGAGAGTTGTGAGGAAGAATTTGTGTGTCGGGAGTTAAAGAAGATTTAAAATAGTACGAAAGAGAAGGAAAGAAAGAAAGAGAATGAGAATGAAGGGTGAGGTAGGGGAGGAGGGGTTAGAGAGAAACGGGCAGCACTTTGA